GCTTGTTGTTGTTGTCCAAATTCTGGCTAGTATAAAAGTGAGATTTTTTCTAAGTTAAAACTTGATTTTGCAAAACAAATCGGCCAAATTCCGACAAGAATAAATGAGATTTTTTCCAAGTTAAAACTTGGTTTTACAAAACAAATCGGCCAAATTCCGACTAGAATAAAGTGAGATTTTTTTCTAAGTTAAAACTTGATTTTGCAAAACAAATCGGCCAAATTCCGACAAGAATAAATGAGATTTTTTCCAAGTTAAAACTTGGTTTTGCAAAATGAATCAGTCAAATTCCGATTAGAATAAAGTGAGATTTTTCCAAGTTAAAACTTGGTTTTCCAAAACGATGAACTAAGATAAACGTTTAAGTTTATATGAAGACATTCACTCGTCGAAATGCCGATTGATAGAACTAAAAGATAATTCCAAGTTTTAAACGTTCAAGTTTTTGAAATAACAAGCAATCGCCTTAATGCCGATGTCAACGAAACCAAAAATATTCTAAGTTTAAAACTTCAAGTTTTTAAACCAAAGTTGATCGCCAAAATTTCGATTGCCAAAAACATTCTAAGTTAAAAATCGGGGTTTTTAAACCACAGAAGCCGTCCAAATGCCGAGTTCAACCATGAGACAAATGATTCTGATAAGACTTGGTGTTGAACTGTGTGATCATCTAAAATCCGACATCACACGAGGATTAAAATTAAACCTATTTGAAACCTCACTTCCATAAAGGAATCGTCGAAAATCCGACCTCTTTTTGGAGATTAAAGAATATGCTGTTGAAAACCACAGCCTTACGCGATATTATCGCCCAAATGCCGATGAAAGTAACTAATGAGACAATAATCCGAGTTTTGGACTTGAAATGCAAAAGGTCGTCCAAACGCCGATCTGCGCTACCATTGAGAAATAATCCAAGTTTTGGACTTGAAGTGCAAAAGGTCGTCCATACGCCGACCTGCGCTACCATTGAGAAATAATCCAAGTTAAAAAATTCAACATCATGTGGGATGATCACCCCCATTCCGACTCTTTTTGGTGAGGAAAATGTTTAAGTTACAACGTCTAATGAGTTATTATACTCGCCAAGTCGGATTTTTTACCGATAATCACGAGTTTGTGTCTTCGAGTTATTTATACTCACCTAGTCGGATTTTTACCGATCAATCACGAGTTTGTCTTCGAGTTATTTATACTCGCCCAGTCAGATTTTTACCGATCAATCACGAGTTTGTGTCTTCGAGTTATTTATACTCGCCTAGTCGGATTTTTACCGATCAATCACGAGTTTGTCTTCGAGTTATTTATACTCGCCCAGTCGGATTTTTACCGATCAATCACGAGTTTGTTTCTCTTCTGTATAAAAAATGTCAAAAAATGATATGAGGGATAAGAGTATTCATTGATTAAACAAATTATTGGATTGCGGTGCCTCGTTAAAATCCTTCTCAGCCAAAACCCCTCTTATTTTTTACGGGGAAAAAATACTGAGTTAGGAAAAGAGTGCACCTTCTACAAATGAATAAACTAACTGTAATAGAAACGTAAATTGGCCGCGTTCCAAGTTCTCGATATCCTCCCTCCATCCAAGGTCCTCAGTCGGTAAGCTCATTTGCCGACCACATCATCAATTTTATAAGGGACGACCCACTTAGGTGACAATTTGTTTCTCATCTGAGTTAGTTGAGCGCGTTTCAACACAACGTCTCCTACAACGAAATCTCTTGGGATGACTTTCGTATTGTACTTGAAGGCCGCTCTTCTCTAGGCTGTTACTTGACTTATCCTTGCTCTCTCTCTTGTTTTTGAGATCAAGTCCAGATCCACTCGTCTTCCCTGGTCGGATTCCCCCTCAGAAAAAGCTATGGTATGTACTGACGGCTCTGCAATTTCAATTGGGATCATGGCATCTGTGCTGTATACCAGATTGAACGGAGTGTCCTGGGTCGACGAATGAACAGTCGTGTGGTATGACCATAGCACTCGGGAAAGCTCCTCCACCCATGAAGCGCCTGAATCTTGGACGCGCTTTTTCAGTCTTGAGAGTATGACTTTGTTAGCCGACTCCGCCTGGCCGTTAGATTGGGGGTGCTCGACGAAGGTGAATGTCATTCAGATGCCGATCCCTTGACAGAAATCGAGGACTCTTGTACTCGCAAACTGGGTCCCATTATCAGAAACAAGCACTTGCAGAACACCATATCTGCACACAACATTCTTCCACAAAAACGCCCTAACCTTCTCTGCTGAAATGGTTGCAACTGGCTCCGCCTCAATCCACTTGCTGAAATAGTCTACAACTACTATCAAGAATTTCAATTGTCTTACGGCTATCGGAAACGGGCCGAGAATGTCAATGCCCCACTTGTGGAAGGGCCAGGGAGACAAAATTGAATGAAGAGGCTCAGCTGGCGAATGGCGCAACGTTGCGTGTCTTTGGCATCCATCACACTTTTGGACCCAATTGACGCAGTCGTTCCTCAAAGATGGCCAAAACTACCCTGCTCGGGCAACTTTGTACACCAGAGCTCGGCCTCCGATATGACTTCCACACATTCCGCTATGTACTTCATCCATCACTCTCTATGCTTGCAACATGGTCAAACAACTTAAGAGAGGAGAGCTAAAACCCCTTCAGTACAGCCTTTCATTGATGACTACGAACCTGACCGACTCCCTTTGCACCAACGATGCCTCCCTTTTGTCTTCCGGTAATTCCCCCCGAGTCAGATATGCGATGTACGGTCCCATCCACGAATCAAGCTCTTCCTGGATGAACAGGACATTCCCTTGCGCTTCGTTTATACTCAGCTGTGTTAACGTCTCTTGGATGACCGACCGAGTAGCCCCTGGCTTCTTTGTACTTGCTAGCTTGGACAACAGATCGGCTCGTGAATTTTGCTCCTTAGGGACATGATTCAGCGAAAACTTGGTAAAGCCAGCCGACATGACTTTAACCTTTTCCAGATACCGAGCTAATTGGGGATCCTTCGCTTGGAAAGTCCCCCCTCCCTCCCCCGTCACAAGTTGTGAATCCCCCCTGGCCGACAGGCTTGTTGTACCCATTTCTTTTGCCAAGGCTATCCCTGCCAATAGCGCTTCGTACTCTGCCTGATTGTTGCTAGCCCGAAACTCAAATCGCAGCGACTGTTCCAAAAGTATACCTCCTGGGCCCTCAAGGACGATCCCTGCTCCACTACCACCTAAGTTCGAAGCTCCGTCGACTGATAAGATCCACTCACTTTCTCCGAAAGAGTCTCAGCCGGTGGGGTCAGTTCTACCAAGAAATCGGCCAACACTTGAGCTTTAATGGCTCCTCTTGGTTCGTACCTGATTGCAAACTCAGACAACTCGATCGACCACTTCATCATTCTGCCAGCAAGGTCGGGCTTTTGCAACACCTGTCTGATAGGGTGATCTGTTCGGATTACCATTTCGTAGCTCTGAAAATAGTTTCTGAGCTTCCGTGCGGTTATCACTATGGTAAGTGCCAACTTCTCGATCTTTTGATAACGAACCTCCGCTCCTTGCAACACTCTGCTAACAAAATAAATAGGCAGTTGGGAGTTACCTCTTTCTTGCACTAAGACCGCACTGACGGTGCTATCGGATGCCGACAAATATACCAGCAAAGGGAGATCGGTTTGTGGTTTGGTGAGGATTGGTGGTGAGGTGAGAGCCTGCTTGAGTTCGCCAAATGCTTTTTCACATTCATCTGTCCATGCAAACCGATCGTTCTTCCTCAAGCATTGGAACAAGGGCAACGACTTGTCGGCTGCCTTTGAGAGGAACCGAGAGAGGGAGGCCATCTTCCCTATCAACTGCTGGACTTCTTTTATCGTCGCGGGACTTCTCATATTGATTATCGCGGAGCACTTATCGGGATTTGCCTCAATACGACGATGAGTCAATAGGAACCCGAGGAACTTTCCTGCTTGGACGCCGAAAGAGCATTTTGCGGGGTTCAACTTGAGCTGGTAGCGTGCTAGGGTGTCGAACGACTCTTGCAAGTCAGAAAAATGCCGAGACACGCTAGGCGACTTGACAACCATGTCGTCCACATATGCCTCCACATTCCTTCCTAGCTGATTGGCCAGCACCTTGTCAATAAGTCTCTGGTACGTCGCCCCCGCGTTCTTCAAACCGAAAGGCATCACCTTGTAACAGTAGGTGGCTTGGTCGGCTATGAACGCTGTATTATCTTCATCGGCAGGGTGCATCCTGACCTGATTGTACCCCGAGTACGCATCCATGAAGCTCAATAATTCATACCCCGATGCGTTGTTGACTAGACAATCTATGTTGGGCAGCGGGTATGAATCTTTTGGACAAGCTTTGTTTAAATTGGTGAAGTCCGTGCACATCCTCCAGTTTCCATTGCTCTTTCGTACCATTATGACGTTCGCTAGCCACGTCGGGTATTGGATTTCCCGAATGTGACCAGCTACCAACAACTTCTTCGTCTCCTCAGCTATGGCTTTCCTCTTATCCTCCCCAAACTTTCGTCGTTTTTGAATCACCGGCTTCGCATTGGGGTCGACCATGAGACGGTGATGCAGGAAGTCAGGGTCAATACCTGGCATGTTGCCGGCACTCCATGCAAAAGCCGATACGTTGCTCTTCAACACAGTCAGCAACCCTTCCTCGTCTTCTTTAGCCAGAGATACACCAATCTTGACCGCTTTGCCTTCGTCCAATCTAACTTCCTTCACATCCTCCGCCGGGGCTGGTCGGGAATCGAAGTGAATCATCCTCGGATCTAACTCGATTGATTGAACACCCCGATCAATCTATGTCACATACAGGTGCCTCCTCGCCCTCAAACTGTCCTCATAGCATTTCCTCGCGACTTCTTGATCTACACATAGGACCCCGACCTTTCCGCTAGGCAAAGGATACTTCGGCTTCAAGTGAGGTGTGGAGACAACTGCTCCCAACTTATTCAGCATGGGTCGGTCTACTAATATGCTGTAGGACGACTGGGCGTTCACCACCAGGTATCAGACGGTGATAGTCTTCATGTTGTCTCCTTTGCCAAAGGTTGTCTCCAAGTCGGTGTACCCCCTGGCCGTTACCTGATCACCTGCAAAACCAACTAATGTACCTACATATGGCATAAGGCGATCGGTCAGAATTTTCATCCCGACGAAGGCTTCCCAGAACATGATGTCTGTCGAGCTACCTTGATCCACCAACACTCGTTTCACATTGTAACCCATGACTATCGCCGAAACGACTATAGGATCGTCCTCAGGGGGAGACACACCCTCAAAGTCGGCGTCCGAGAATGTGATGGTTGGCCGAGTAGGTCGCGCCCAATCTGAGTCCGACAGCACTGACCGAGAGTATCTTTTTCGAGCTGCTGATGTCGGACCTCCTCCAGCAAATCCCCCCGCTATGGTGTTGAAGTCTCCATGGACAGCTTGCTGGTGAGTCTCTGTACTTTTTTCTGGAAGATCTCTCGGGGAAGACCTCCCTTCACGCCTTCCTCTTCTCGTGTCTTCTCCTTCACGTCTGCGTCGCCTATCAGACGAGCCCTCATCCTGCTTCCCTGCAATGAATTTTTTCAAATGACCCTCCTTGATAAGGCGCTCAATCTGCCTACCGAGAACGAAGAAATTCTCCGTAGTGTGTTCATGGGTACGATGGAATTCACACCAGTCAGTTTTGTAGGGTCCCAACTGGCGGTCAGTCGCCGCTAGGAACTCGAAAAGTGACGCACTGTTAACGTCATGCAGTATGTGCCGCCTGGGAACGTTGAGTGGAGTGAACTTCTCTTCTTCCTTGTTGCGTGTCCACTCGCCCCTCGGCCGACCAGCATGATCGGCCTGTCGGTAGTTGCTCTCCTTCATGTTGTAACGGTCGCGTCGCTTATTCTAATTCGACCGCGGTCGGAGATGCTTGTTGCCCTCCTTATTGCTGCCCCTTGTTTCTCGGCTCTCCGCTGCTCTCTTGCTGATCTGCCCTTCCTCCGTCTTAATGTGGCTCAGCACGAAGGCTCTCACCTCCGACATCGTCTGGCAATTGGCCCTTTCCAGCGCGATGTCGAAAGCTCCAGACCTCAGGCCTTTCTGGAATGCGATGACGGCCATCCTTTCATCCAAAGACGTTATCCTCAAGGTGACCTCGTTGAACCTTTGTAGGAAATCCTTCAGGGACTCCTTACGCTGCTGTTTGAGGTCGAATAGGTCCGACGTGATCGACGGTTTCTTCTTGTTAGCAGCGAATTGTGCCATGAAAAGCCGACTGAAAACATCGAAGTCGGTGATTGATCGGTCGGGGAGACCACTAAACCAATCAAGCGCTGCCTTTTTGAGCGTGCCCATGAATAGCTTGCAACGGACTTCCATGCTCCCTCCGCAAATCAACATCTGAGCTCGGAAATCCGTCAAGTGCTGGCTGGGGTCCTGCGTTCCATCAAAGGAGTCGACTTGGGGAATCCTATGATCCCTGGGGATGATCTCGGCTTCTATGGCTTCCGAGAAGGGTCAGAAATCCCTGGGGACTTCCATCATGGCGTCCTCCTCCACTGTCCTGGTGCTGGTCGCTATTCTGGCCTGCATCTCGTCTGCGCGCCTCCTGATCTCTTTGTTTTCACGTTGGATGGCCTCCTCTCTCTCCCTGGATTGCGCATTCTCCTCCCTTAAGCCATTGATCATGGCCATCATCTCCTCCATGGTAGGGGGTTGTGAGTTGTTGTTGTTATTTTCGCCTCTCGCCATGGTAAAGTGTAGGTTTCTGGTATTTCTTGGGGCGTAGGAAAAGTTTCACCGTAGCCCCACGGTGGGCGCCAAAATGTTCCAGCCAAGGGGAGCACTAGGGTTTTTTCCTAGGTCAAGCCTCAAAGCCAGAGCATTCAAAAGTGTAATCTGCCTTCTTAGCCTTAGGGTTTTAGGTTTTATAGTTTGTTTTCCATGGGCCTCATGGGCTCCGAGAACGTAGGGACTTCCTTAACTGCTTTTATTCGGGGAGCATCCTGGAGACTTCGTATCGGAACACGACCAACCAGAACCAGCCTGAGGGGGCCTGGTCGCGTGATGACCGAGAGTGCCTCCTCTGATCAGAGCGATCGGTATTGGGACGACCACCCCTATGTCAACGGGCCAAGTTAGTTAAGGACCGAGTAGCCCTTTATGAGGTCGGTCGAGGTCATACTCGGCCTGTCACAGGTAGAGAGGTCAGGCCGGATGATAGACCATGGGCCAAGGGCCCAGTGACCAGAGCTATGGCTAGGAGGATACAGGAAGAGCTGGATCTAGAGAAGACTAATGGGCTTGTCAGGCCCAAGATAATCTTCACTTGGAATGCTCTATCATGAAGAGAAGGCCTTAGTTCTACTTGTTTATATTGTACAGTTTATACATAGTCTTGTGTATAGGTTATTTTTGCCTTTGTATTTGTGAGGCACTTTACTAGCTTTTTCTAGTGTTTGTATATTGATTTTGAGGTAGGTTACTTGGAGAGTTTAACTCCATTTAACCTCCCTAGTTGACACATTCATTCTTTATTTTTCAGTAGGAAAAAGGGGGTGACATTTAGCAAAGTTAGGGAGTGTGCTTAGAAATTGGGCCAGAGTTGGGCCTAGGCAAAATTTTACATATTGGACTCATTTTGCTCCTAATTTTTCATAGATTTGATTTAGCTAGGTTTCATCATCATATGATGAACCTAACTAAACCAAATCAAAGAATTTCAAATTAAATCAAGGAGCAATTTGAACCATGGGCCGCCTAGCTTATTTCCTTCTCCTTGGCCGAATTTTTCAAGCATTCTTACTTGAGTTTGAAGCTTGTCTTGCAAGCTTCTAAACTCAAGCAAGGTTAGCTTAACCTTACCTTGGTTCCTAAAAGAACCATGGTCAAGGTTTAGCTTCTCCTAGAAGCTAGCTAAACCGTAGGAGTTTAAGTTAATCCTACCATGGTTCTTAATGAACCATGGTTAGGGATAACTTCTCCTACAAGCTACTATTCCCTATATATTTGATTTTCCTACACTTGTACTCACTTTTGACATATATGAGAAATCAACTTCTGAATTTTCTCTCAATCAAGAGTCACCAAAATCCGTGAGAACCAACTCCTCCTAGGTTTTCATCAAGGTTCCTTCAACCTTGCTTTGGTTCATCAACTTTCTCCATCCAAGAGAAGTAACCGAACCTCCTCCATAGACTTCACCTCCTTTGAAGCTTCTTCAATGGAGATTCAAGATTCATCCAAGGGATTAACCTCAAGTTGCATTCGGTCCTTGCATGGAATCAAGTGAAGGATTATCATTCTCCTCACCTAGTTCCATCACCGGATCCCGACCTGGACGGTCCAATACTATACTATAATTAAAATTTGCAATAAATAAATAGTTTTGACACAATAAATTATCTTTAAAATATAATAAATCGTTTATATTGTATACAAAATTTTAACTATTGATATATTTTTTGAAAAAATATTGAAATAAATATCAAAATGTTATATATATTATTTCAATACTCAGTTCATCAATAATAAATCATTTATTTGATATAAAAAATCAAGACACACTTGCAATAGAAGAGTGAGGTCAACCCCTTCATTATAGGAAAATGATATTCAAATGAGAATAATAATAGTTCGGAACATAAAATTAAGTATTAATTATGTCATATTAACGTGTGTGTAAATTTTGTGAATTTAAAATACAACTTATATATTCAAAGAAAATTATTTATTATAAATTTTAGTCATAGTATAATTTATTTATAAAAAAATACTTATTTATTATAATTTTAATTATGTGTAAAATAAAAATTTATTTTTATAATACACAAACTAAAATATTACTAATTATTATAATAGTATTAAAATACAACACAAACTTTTATATTTATGCAATATACTAATTAAAATATTTTTTACTCGAATATTCAAACGCAAGACAAGTTTTCAACTCAAATACTCTGTTATTAATTAAGCACAATAAAACTTACACTCCCAATGAAACGTATGTGGATCACCTTACACTAGTACTTTTCATGGGCATTTAAAAGTTACTAATTGTAATTAATTTAATATTTAAAAATAATTTGATTAATGAACTTACTAGTTTTAATTTTCAATTCTGTTCGATAATTTGATTCAATACATTTTAATTCTTTCAAGTTTAAACGTGCTTACAATTCTCAAATATATTGTCAGCAAAGTTAACACATGCAAAAATTAAATAAGACTAAATGAAGAAAAATTAAGACCAATATTCCAATACATATACGAAGTTCTGTGCATAAACAATTCAAAGTTATTAATTACTTTATTTATAAAACTTTTTGAAATTAAAGAATTTAAAGAATGAAAATATAAAGATTGAGTCGTATCTTCTTGTTTATTCTCTTGATTTGTCTTCAAATAGATATAAGAAATGCATCTCCTATTACCCTTTATATACGAAGAAGACTCTTTGTTTTCACTTTCAACCAATCACAGCATTTTACTTTCTTTTTCTTCTTCGCATTATTTTCCCATCAATAACTTCTTGGGTGACCATGAAGAACTCAAGGTACTTAAAAGAAGAGAGTGGTCCAACTTCTAATCTCTCACTATGGTTTAGAAGTCCAAGGAGAGTGATACAGTCACCCCCATTGATCGCTCCTGCGCCTCCTCAAACAAATACTTCTTTTATGGAAGAAATACAATACAAATACCAAATCCTAACCCTAACCCTGTGTTAGTGCCCATTTCCGAGAACATCTCTGGTGTGGGTGAAAACGTTATCATTCCTGCGCCTTTTCCTTGGGCCAAGAATCGCCGAGCCATCGTGGAGAGCCGCAACTATCTTGTGCAAAATAATTTTTGCATTA